TCATATTATTTGTGTTTCCTTTACATTTGTTGCAAAGCAGCAAACAACATGCAATTACACCTTTACAAACACATACATATATATATATATACATATACATATTTGTAGATGTGCAACCATGTGTGCTCTACGTACAGCATACAGACAGTGAATGCTGGTATGGTACATAAATGAAAGGACCGACAGCAAGTGGTTGTGGCATATGACACTTAAGGCATAAATAACTGTCAAGTGGTGCAAGTGGCAGTGTGTATGCGACACGACACTTATAATTACAAATAATGAGCACAAAAGAAACCACCGTTAAATTGTTGCAGGCGTCAGTCCTTGCCCTTTTATTTTTGTATTATCCATAATTTAATTTAAATATACGTGTTAAAATTGTCCCATAATTTTTTAAGGCGAAAGCATTTCTGAAATCCGTCTTTTCTTTGCACTTATGAAAGGGAAAAATATTTCGCGGTCATGAGTTTTAAGTTTCCATGAGCATTCTGAGAAAAAAAGACCAGAGACAGATTGACTTTATTTTGTAAACGTTCAGTCAGTTTTCTCAACTATTGTAGACTTTTATAAATACTTATTTCAGCAATGTCTCCACTACTTTACAAATATGCCACGTTATCCGTACTAAATTTCAAGCAACAAATTTTGAAAGTGAACACAGAAAATAATTTTACACTACACGTACAAAGAAGATTTCTCTAAGAAAAACACATGAGAAATAAACAGTGTCATGCTGTTATTTTTCGTCGATTTTTTTAATCTAATAATAATGTTCAAATTCACACAGTTTATAAAGTAGGACTAGCGATGATTTCAAATTAGAGGGGCTTGCTATTGGTAACGCTGCTATGTAGAATAACAAATGCCATCTTTTAGAGTTGAGAAAGTTTCTCTGTCTCCATTTTGCCGACACCTTTACCTCTATACTCTACTCCTTCAAAAAGTTATTAGAACGAAGAATAAGTTGCAAGCATTTTAAGCATATTTATAAAGAAATTAAATTAAAGAAAGAAGAAAACACCTGGACTTTTCTCTTTTCTTGGCATTACTTAACTGCATAACTATATTTTTTTTAAGCTTTTTCCTTTGCCCGCCTTAAAAAGTTGAAAGTCTGTGCCGGCAAACAAGTCCATTTGCGTGACTTTTCTAAACGAATTGTGGAAGCAATAAAAAAGAAAGCCATTACATTGGGAATCATTACGACTGGCAACTTAACTCAGCTATGAACAACTTGACTACATTCAAAGCTAAGTGTGGCATGTAAAGGTGGCGTAAAAGTAAAAGAATTCTATAAAACTCAACGCCGTCATACAGCTTAATATACACACGAAATAAATGTTTAGTAACGAAATTGGAGGGTTTTGTTTAATAAAAGTCGCGATTAGCATTGCCTAATATGTTTAAGTAAACTATTACAAGGTGCGTTCCAAAGTATGTAACAAATGGTTTTATCGGCAAAATCAATTAATTTTCTTTAAAATAGTCTCCTTCTGCTTTACAAGTATTGCTAAAAACTGATAAATTGTTTTAAAAAATAAAAAGTTCGTTTAGTTATAGCCGAATTTTATTTTATTCGAAAAAGAGTCACGCGTTGCATATATGCAGGCGCTCTACTTTTATGCACACCGCTTGTATATTTTGTTGCATACTTTTAGGTACTTTGTTTAAGCCATTTTCGCAGCAAATTAGGGCACAAACTTTGTTTCGTAAAAAATTAAGAATTCTTCAGAGATTTTGTGAATTTTTCTGTGTGTAGTTATGTACTTGCTATGTGAAACATACACACAACCACACAAAAAAAGCAATAAATGCTGCTGACGCTAAATAATAGCCTTAGTAGGCATTTGTTAGGTAAAAGCTAAAATTTTTGCAAATGTTGTACGTGCAACACACCTGCACACACACCCGCAGGCGACATTTCAACACCAACACGGGGGCTTGCGAAATATCAGCAACATTAATATGCAGCAGGCGTTGCATGTGGCAACAATTTTGCATTACAACAACAAGTGCATGACAATTTTACGGTATACACATACACACATGCACACATACTATGTACTATTTACCCATACAAAAGCTAAGTGACGAACGTGCCCACGAGTGCGCAGAACAATGACGTGTACTTTTGTTGCGGAAAATTGGAAAATCGTTGCATAACTGCAACTTGCCATCAGCGCAACCACTCCTTAAATTGCTGAAGTTGCACGAAGTGTGCATGCCACGAACGACTATGGCTTAGTTATGCGAAGAAAACTTGCATGCAACGTTTAGTGTAATTTTCGCTAGGTCTCGCTCCCGTTGAAAGTGGTAAATTTTATTTGATCCCCCCGTTTCTACCAACTTCATCATCGCGCAACTGCACATTTTGCAGCATTACTGTTTCCCGGTACTTTTACAAAATTTTCCATTTTAATATGAAAGAAATTAAGATGAACAACCGTACTTACAAATGCATACCTATGCACAGACGGACGGCAGGCGAGTCAGCAGTGGCAAGGGCAATCTCAACGGCGACAAAGTGGCGTACAACACTGAAGTATGGCAGCAAAAGTCATGCAACAGCAGCAGCAGCAAGCGGTGGGCCGGGCTTGTGCAAATGAATGCGCCACAATGCGACACAAGTGTACTTAACACTCACTCATTCATTTGCTCTCGCTCCCACCCGCGCTTGTCCTTTGCCCTCTGCCTACCCATTTTTAGAACTTTGTTTTAGTATTTTTTTTTTGTTTTTGTCATTTTTATTTCATTTTCATGATATATTTCCTTTGCTAAGTAAATGAGTACCTTAGTTGGCTTTCGAGTAATAATGTTGAGTGTCTCTGTGGCTGGGCAGCGAACGAGCTAACGTAGTCGGCGCAATTAAAGTCGCATTTGGCACACCAGTGCGTATGAGTAATGCGCTAGTGAAGTGCAGGTGCTGGCAGCCGCTATGCGAGCCGCTCGAAAGAGTTTTCCGTAAATGAGCAATTTATTTATTTCTTTCATGATTTTAATGATTAAGTGCAGTTTAACTATTGCTAGAAGGAGTTTTGAAATTTCCTTTTTAATTTAAGTATACTTTTGTAGTATTCTGAATGGGTGCGGTGCTACATATTCCAGACAGCTCTTAAAATTTTTAATATCCTTTGGATTAGTTAATCATAATCAGAATAGACATTTTTTATAAATGATTTTTATTTACTTACTTTAGAAAGTTTGTTAAAAATTATATAATAAATAATTGTTTTTTTTCGAAATACGCTGCACCCAGGTTTAGTGGTAGTTTTAATTGCAGACGAAAGTTGAATCTTCTGCTTTAAGCCTGCATGTAGGCAACATTTTCGTAATTCGCACAACTGTATTTAATATTTGTAATTTTTCACGTACAAAATATTTGGCTTACAGGCAAGCTAATAGTTCTATAGTATATTTTACCTAAATAAGTGTTTTTACAAAAAGTATTCTACTTAAAAATAATGACTTATTAATTAAAAATAATATGGTATCATTTTTTAGAAATTTGCGGGATAAAAAATTGCTTGAACGGTGAAAGATTTCAATATATTAAAAAAAATAAAAATAACAGAGATGTTATTTATGAAAATATCTAACATACATTTAGGCGCAATAGCTTTTTTTCAAATGGTACCTGGATTTATTAGTTGAACAGTGAAGTTCAAGGCTCCAAATGTTATCACTGCAACGTTATTTACCTTATTAGAAGCCCCTTTAATACAATAAATGTTTCAATTGCTCGAAATACTTTATGTTTAGCCATATTAAGTAATATCTTTCATAAAATAAATAATAATTAAATAAATTTCATAATAAGATTATTTGTGTTTCACATTGCCGAAAGATATAATAATCTATAGAGCATTGAACTTGAACTCCAAATTGAACTTACCAAATTATCCAAGAAATATGTTCAATTAAGCCCCATAGAGGCAAAATAGGTGTCACATTCGAATTTTTCCATAAAATAAATAACGAGTACTCCTCAGATGTTTTCAAAAGACAATTCAATTTAGAGGATATATATACCTAGAATACAAAACAGTTGCTATCCTGTAGCTCCATAAAAAGTTTTTGTTTCACTCATATACGTGGTCTTAATTTAAGCTTAAAAAATATATTGAGATGAAACTAATATGAGCGCAATGTATATGTTTTATCCTTGTTACGTAAATTCATTAATTTTTTTGAGATAAGAGATGATTAGTGATTTAATTTTTTTATTCTAAAGCTACTCTTTTGGGCATTGTTTTCAGGCTTCTTAAACATTTTGTTAAAACTGTGCAGTATAAAGACACTGCTAATGCTTCTACTCCACTACATTTTTGCAAATTTAGTAAGCAAATTTAACTTCGGTTGCGGCGAAGCTAAAATACCCTTAACAAAAACAAAATACATCATACAAGAACTCGATTTTGAACGTACAGTTTGTATAGTGGTTATATGCTATAGCAGTCCGATATGCATAGTTTTTTCGGAGATTATACTTATTGGATAATTATCTAACCCAAATTTTGTGAATATATCTGAATTTAATGAAATGAAAAAGTTTGCCATGCAAGTACTTGAATTTGATGCTTCAGTTGGTATGCCGGCAATATGCTATAGTGCTCTGATATCGACAGTTCCGATAAATGAGCAGCTCTATCTGGGTGTAACAAAGTTCTTTTGATGCGTTTTTTACAATATTTTAAAAATATTTAACAAAAATAAACTCTCTTGGAAGGAGCTATTCAGTGTAAATAGTTGAGTATTATGTCTGTAAGTTTATCAAAACTTTATTATTATTAAGATTTTTGAAATCAAACTACCACAAAGAGGTCAAACGAAAAGAATAGGCTAAAAATATTTCTTCATTATAAAATCAAATTCATATTTTATCTAAAGCAATTTCTTTACAAATTTGCAAAAAAATGTTTTACAATAAAAATACATACACGCCTCAATTGATCCGGCAATCTTTTACTCACATAAATTTTTTGCTTCTCATATAATTGCAGAATTTTCCAATGGATTGCATTTTAATAATGGAAAAATGTGCGTGCCAAGCAATGAAATTCTTTAAAAAGCAAGCAAGAAATAACAACAACTTTGAGTAACACGCGCCAAAGTCGAAATGTGTATATGTATGTGTGTGTAGCATGCGAGAACGCTTTGAAGAAAACCAGCGTGAAGCATAACCTCTGAGTGTGCCAAAAGAAAACACTGCATCACGGTGAGCTAGCAGCTATTGGAGCTAACAAAGAAAGTGCAAGCAATGCCAATAAATCCATATTAAATACATATATGTTGACAAAAACAAAAACAAACAAAATAAAAAACAATAATAACATCATAAATCAACACAAGACAAAGCAGATTTACATAGAAAATATGGGAAATACCGAAACAAAAACTAAAAGTTTCAAAGTTTCGATAAAAAGAAAGAAAAAGAAATATTTCATAAAATTATTGCACATTTATGTAGAAGCTTGTGTTGGAAAAAGAACACCAAAAGCACAACGAATTCGAACAAAATTGACGCTCAAGTTGAAGGACATGGCAGTATAGCAAGCGCGGAAGTAAAAGCATTAATTAATTTCACTGAAGTGTACTTCTAATGAGACCATAATTAATGAGTGCCAGCACTAGACGATTAGTAACTGAATGAAATGAGCAAAAACACTAAACAACTAAAGTTTTTAGTTGCCAAATGCATAATTGACGCTATTTAATATTTATATTTATTATGCTTCTTACATATTTGCTCTTATTTTTTACTTAAGAGAACATAATTTACTCACTTTTATGCTTTATTTGTTTAATAAAAGTTGTTTTCGGAAAAAGGCCTCTCAGTCAGCGTCTTAATTTGGTCCAAAAACTTAAATTACCAAAAAAACAAAAAAACACAACGTTAGTTTGGTTGTACCGAAGCTATAATACCCTTCACAAATACAAAAGATTCCTTACAAAAAATTGGCTCTGATTGCTCAGTTTGTATGATGCTATATGCTATAGTTATCTGATCTGAACAATTTCTTCGGAGATTGCATTAGTGTCTTAAATAATAACTCTTCCATACAAGCACTTAATTCCGATTGTTCAGTTTGTATGTCAGTTATATGCTATAGTGGTAGGTCTAGTATATAGGCTTTGACCCTGGGATCCCCCAGTTCTTAGCATGAAAATAGTATATTATTTTCCGAATTTTTTGTGGACTTTTATTTACAATATATATCAGACGAGAGATATCTCAGCCAGTTTTGGTAAGAAAGTTTGGCTAGCAAGTTGTCATTCGGTATAGGTTATACTAGCCAGCTGTTACGCCATATATAGGCCTACTAGTCCTAACTAATTTCATTCGATATAAAATAAAAGTTGATGCTTTCCTGTTGACGAGTTAATAATTATTTAGTTATTGTAAGATTTATCACAATGAAGTTAAGTAGGCATATACCTACATATACTGGAAAACAAGGTGCTTTGGTGCCAAAATTTAATGGATTCTTCCATAGATTTTTCTAGTCCTCATATATAAGCAGCAATTAAACTGATTTGGATATTATCATCTACATATTATTATCTTCGATGATTGAGCAAAAATAGGGCTTTTATATTAAGAGAATTTAAGATTCGACTTAATTTTTTTTTTACTTTTAAATTTTTTTAAACTTCGTTGAGCCTCTTTAACGACTTTTTAAATGTCATTTCAGCATTTACGTGATTGCACCAGATGAAATTCATAATTTTGAAATGAAAAAGCAAACATTTTCAAACATAAAAAGTCAATGTCAATTTTGAGTCTTTTTTTTATGATATAAAAAATTTTTTTTTTATGATTTTAATAAAAATACAAATATTAGCAAAAGTAATCTATGCAAATAGAGCCTGAAGCATCTGCACTTCCCTAACCAAAATTGATAAAAAAAATTAAAAATATATAAATGCAGAATGAACAAATGAGAAATGCGACTATAAAACATAAATTGTGACTTGTGAGGGCATAAGAGCATAAATCAACGGCAAATCAAAAAAGAAGTTTAATGAAAAAGAAAAAAGTTTCACAACACAACGAAGGCGAAAAACAGCGGTTAAATTAATATATTATTCAGCAAAACAACAAAACCAACAACACGAACCAAAAATATCACACAATAAAAGCAAACACTTCCACAACCACAGAAATGTTTCAACGCGACAGGCTACCACATCAATGTGGCATGCAAGAGCGACGGCATCAACATCAGCATCACTTGCCACGGCCGCTAAAGCTCATATTGGCGTTAGTCATCATCATTTGCTTGAAAGGTAAGTGAAACATCAATTTTCCTTTTTGTTGCTTTTATTCTTTTTTTTTTATGAGACTAATTTTCGCATTTACTTTCTTGTTGTAAGCAGTTTTTTTTGTTGGTTTTGCATACTTGCAATAAATTGCCACGTACACATGTTCATACAAGCACAGTTATCATCTAGTATATCTGCCTCATGCCACCATTGGCGACGTGTTGTCAGACTTTTAGAATGTGCCACATTGCTACGCTTGCTGTTGCATGCACCCACGGAAAGCACACGGTAGACAAATGGGCACATTTTTTCATTGTATACTAGATGTTAATCTCTATATTTGTATGTCTCCCTCTATATGGTGTGCATGTGTTTGTTGCTGAAATAATTACTTTGTCATTGCTTTTCGCTTCCAACCAGAATTTCTTATGTCAATAAAAGTCTTTTGAGACTTAAACCTGTTGGTAGCATTTGTTGTTATTTTTCTATCAGCTACTTTTGAGAGAGTATAGTACATATTTTATTTTTATTTTTATTTCTTAATCCACATCTTCTTCGTAGTTAATTTTCTTATAAGAAATACCAATTCTTGGCTTTGTTCTTTAATAATTATTTCAAAGTCAGATAATTTTCCATGGTTTCAGATTATCGTGTCTTACTCTTCTTCAGCTTATTTATTTGTATTATTGTTAGCAAAATATTTTTTTAATCAAGCACATCTGCTGACAAAGCCTTCGAGAATTTCTTACATTAATTATGATCTTTGAAAATTTTGCAAATATTGAAAAAAATCTGATGCGCCTGCTTGGCCACATTTCAGCCTATATGATCTACATTGCATATATGTACTAAACTATCATCTGGTAGAATCTAAGTAATCCATAATTGAATTATCCAAACTGCCAATTGTATTTTGAACTTAATTTGAAACTATTTTTGGATTAAAATAACAAAAACTTCAGGCTTATTGTTTCGTTACCTTTATTAAAAAACTATGGTATTATATACATAAACTTTGACATTCTATAACAAATACCGAGTATTACACATCATAACTTTGCCAATGCTAGGATCGCAAAGCACCAGCACAATGTTATTAGATATCTCTAGCATTTTCTTAACAAAACTCTCCCCCATTTTCCAGCCAAATGTAATCAAAACAAATATTCTTGAGAGTCAGCTCCATGTCAGATATATGTATCTTAAATATTCGTGTATTTTCTAAACTGTGTGAGAAATGTTTTCGGTGGTTTGTCAGAGCAAACCAATATAGATCTATTGATATTCCGTTCCTTTGATTATTGTGTAATTCCTAGTTAAAAATCGATCACCTAACAATTTCTTTCTCAATGGTATTTTATATAATAGGTGAGTCATCATATAGCTTTATATGAATATATAAACCTTCATTCGTTATTTCTCTGTTGTTTCTTCGTTTCGACATTTCTCGCTCACTAACTTTGACTGCGCGCGGTACGTACTGACTAATTAATAAATGAGTTTATAGCAATTTACGCCAGCAACATTTCACGCCACAAATATTCAATGCAACAAAGATAATGAAGGCGACTTTTCTCGCATTAACTGTTTAATTATATTTACAATTGAAGTGAAAGAAAGTGAGGTTTCGATGTGGAAGCTTTGATGACGGGCTACTAATGGGTAAGAGATGAAGATGGAGAGAGATGGTGATGCAGATACAGAGAGCTGAGAGCAGAGAGATAGAAAGTAAGAGAGAAAGAGAACTACTCGGATATAAAACCACAGAAGTGGCAAAGTCGGACTGAAGATAAAGTGTATAAGTTTAATGCACTTTGGACCTGATATATCAGTTCCGGAAATTTCTTGGTGTGTCAAATCTGATACGAAAGAGAGACATTATTTGGTGAAAAGCAAATTCGCTATTTCACCGAAGTCTTTTTAATATTAAAGAATACGCAATGCGATATTTCTATTTACCTCGATATAAGCGTCCCTAAAATAAGAGAATAACAATTTATAAAAAGGCTTAAGAATCGGTGATTACTAGTCTAGATGCTGACAGACACCTCAGAACTTTCAAATATTCTTAGCTGCGATTACTATCTGAAAGCTCAGCGAGTTCAACCCGTACTCCTCCTTACTCCTATATTTTCATATTGATTGCATTATTTTCCACGAGAGTATAACAGTGTTTCTGTATATATGTATGTTCATATGCAACACGTTATTGATTTCGCAGTTTTGTCAGTATTCTTCCCTCCATTCATTTCATCCCCACATTTCTCTTGGTGGAATTGAGTACGGCGCCTCGAGTGCAATAATGTGATTGTGATGCATAAAAACGGATATAATGCAATTTGCAACATGACGCAAATTGACAGACATTAATTTGGATTGCGGTTATATGTGACTACTTTTGATTTATTTTACGGTGCATTTGCTGTTTGATGGCATTGAAGGCTTTTCATGTAGTTTCCAACGCAAAAATTGTTTTGAATTATTTTTTTTTTTGTATCTGCCGAATATAAATTGTAGTTATTATTATAATTCAGTAATCCACATACGCTTTCCATGCACTCATTTATTGATCTACCATTAAAATTTATTTTATTAATTCTTTACTTTAAAAATCGCGTAAACAAGGAGCTTCTGTTTTTTGTGTCTTTTAAATGTGGCAACGTTCCAAAAAAAGTTTCCTTTCTCTTTTTCAATATTTTTCCCATATTGCTGTATGGCAAGTTTTAAATTATATAGTAAATACTCAAAATAAAAAATTTAAAATAAAAATTACCATTACAACCAGTTTTAGAAACGCTCTTTAGCTGAAGGCTTCAAATTGAGCTCAAATCTAGTATGTACATTAGGGTGGGTCGAAAAAATAAGGTTTTTTTTTGTCGCTTGTACTCTGAAAAATGTATTGATAGACACCTCTAAGAAAGGCGCTCCAAGTATGAGCTCTTAACAGATAGAACAAGTAAAGAAGAGCTAAGTTCGGGTGTAACTGCTAGGCTGCTAGGATGAAAGTCGGAGACTTACTTTAAGGCTTTGACAAAACTTTATATTAACACTATCAGGAGCTATTGATCCGATTTTGCTCATATTTGATCTAGTGCGTGGTATTATCAGGAAAGGATTTTTTCGCAATATTAACTGGGGTCCATATCCGATTTTGTCAATTTTTGACCATTAGATGGCGCATATGCTATAAGCACTATTTGCGAAAAGTTTTATCTCCATGCATACATTGGCACTTGATTTGTATTCTGGAAACTGAAAGAATCGGATGGAATCTAAAACGTTGTTATATGGAAAGAAGGCCTGGTTGCTATCCGATAATGTTATGTGTCAAATTTTGTTGAAATTGGTAGAGCAGATCCCGAGATATGTGTTTTCGCCTAAATATGGGCAGTGCTACGCCCATTTTCCATTGTAGTTATAGCATTTTACAAGTTTTCGTTGAATTGTGTTTGGTTGGCGTGGCAGTGCTCCGATTACTCCCATCTACGAACTTGTACTTTCTTTTTTGCCAAGGAAAATATGTACCTTGTGCCATCAATATATCTGAATTTTTACTTAAGTTATCGCTGGCATGGACTTACGGACAGAAATGACAGACTTGTTTCGGTATTGATGTCTGACGATTAATAGGTGGTAAAAGCGTAACGTAGTCGAAAAATTATACAGCCCATTTTTGTGGAGCTGAAAATTTCCTACAGGGCTGTGAGTTTTGCAATTTAAAATGATTCTTTTTCATTGAGTTATAAAGTTCATAAAAAAAAAAGTTTGTTTTATTCAAATTTCAACCGTTAATATTTTTTAAACGGTTTGGTTTACGAAAATATCGTGTTGGACCCTTTTTGAAGAGTATTCAATCCACAAAACGAGATATGTTTTCAAATAATAAGTTCAATTAAGAACTCGTACTCCGAGAGCGTTTTTTAGAGGTGTCTATCAACCAATTTTTCAGAGTACCAAGCGAAAATACATTTGACTTTTTCGACCCGCCCTAATAGATGTACATACATAACTATGGTCAAATACACATATAAAAATATATTATTTTTCGTTTTTTGAATTAAAATTTTTTTATTTAAAATGCTTTATTCACGAATACTTTCCTTCGCTGTAAGCCTCTCACCCACTAAACCCTCACTTTGAATGCCTGCCATTTTCACTCGCCACGTACGTTCCATTCTATAAGAATCCTTTTTAAAACTTCGAGCGACTTTTATCGCAATTTGACATTTTCCATAATCGATTGTAAAAATTAAATTAACATGATTTTGACTTAAACCGAATAAGCTTGTATTCCATTAGGATAACAGTAAACTTATAAATACCATATATAGTTAATGATTTTATGGCTACATTACTTTGTTGCATTTTCGTGCAATGCAGCTTGCAACATTTCAATTGTAATATCATTACACAATTCTACTTGATTTGTTTGCGCTTCATAATATTTGTGACCTTCTTTTGTGTTTTGAGCAGTTGAAGGGTACTCTGATACATCGATATTCGGCATTATTGACTCGTTTAACAGAAATCCACGAGATAAGACTTTGGAGTAATTTTGTTTGTGGTCTTTTCTCAAGATCAGCGACATCATCGATTTAGGAAGATGTTGAGAACTTCTAGGGTTCTAAACAGACCTTAATTTGGGATTGTTGGTATTTCAACCGTCACTGTACGTTATACTGTACATATACATATGTACATATCTATGTTTAAGATATTCAGAATAGTGTTGTACTAGGTAACGCTGTAATAGTAAAATTTTTATAGGAGCAAAGGGTTTCAAAAAGTTAGAAATAGGTTACAAAACCCATTTCATAACTGTCAAATGGAAACATCGTTCTTTTGAGTATCGGTGTTTTAAGTGTAAATGATTCGGTAAAGTGTTATCAAAAATTAGAGCATTGTAAGCTTTTCTTTGTAACTAAACCCGTACTTATGCTTAGCCTTAGACCAAGACCTAGATTTAGACTTAGACTTTGGCTTGGACTTAGATTTAGACTTAAACATAAACTTAGACTTAATAT